ATCACCAGCATCCATAACATGATGGTCTGTGCATCAAAATTCAAAGGTGCACTTACTAGCTTTTTCTGAGCTTTAACTACATCTTATGTTCGAAGCTGGCCAAGGTGTCATCATGTGACATAAGGGTGGAATATTGATCACCTGATAACAATTAAAATTGCAGTCACATTTATATGAGGAGGTGCATGCATCAAATGTAGGGTATACTTCACCTCTATATTCAGCCTCTTGTTGCCTGCTCTTCCAAAGGACTACTGTATGTGTGTTATATGTAAGCCTAAAGTCACCAGCAGTGAACAAACATATGAATTATTTAAAAAAAAAGGTCTTGGAGCCACATGTTTAGTGTTGGTTCGTAGATGTATATGTATTCAATCTCCTGTGCAGTATTGGCTGTATAACACAATATAGTGTTCGATTATCAGTCAGTCCTGACACAATCAGTGTCATGTTACGCTCTCCATCCAATACAATGACAAAAGCCTCAGCTATCTCTTCTCTTCCCTTCCTCTTTTCCTCTCTTCTTTTTCCCACAAACATCTGTGTGCATGGAGGGAAACTGGCTTCACTAAAAACAAGACTGTCTGTTGTAATTCCAGCAAAACTCATCTTGCCACCAGGCTTGTAGTGATTTTGTACTCTAACCGTCCTCCTACCATCCACCCAACATCTGCAGCGCTCCAAGCGCAAGAAGACAAATTAGACTAGGATATGTTGTTCATAGTTCATCCAGACTGGTTTTGTGATGTTGGTGTGGTGTAAACTTCACTTTCCCTCTGAGCAGCAGGGCTCCTTGTTCTCACCATGCCTTGACAAAGAGGAAACATTCATAAGAGGATAATTGGGCCCCTGACACTTTTCTCAGGCTGTACTGTGGAGAAACTCATTCTGCTTCTCTGTAGGCGCACTTACAATTTCCTTAAATGTGCTTCCAAAGCTGCAGGGGCCTTACGACTTCTGCATCGTGTTCACAAACCGTCACTGCAATATTTCCAGTGTCCTTCAGCTTTGCTTCAGCATGCTAAATGGTGACATAGCAGCACAGAAAAACTGGGACATTAGAGCCTACTTTAAACAATAACCCCACTGTTCTCAAACTGTGTAAAGCATGTCTCTTTCCACCTCACCTGTAGATGAGTTGAATGTGCCAATCCTTCAACAGATGGCAAAGGGCAGACCTGAAACAATTTACAGATTTGGCAGAGAGTTGCAGAGAGAAGGGCAGTAAAAGTTCTGCCTCTGATATAAACACACTCTCTGGCCTGGCCTTCACCTCTGTCTGCATGTGTGCAAAGAAGGCACCATCAGAGAGAGACAGTAGCAGTGACTGTGTATTTGTGTTAGTATGTGTGTGTGTGTGTGTGTGTAAGAGAGAGAGAGAGAGAGAGTCTGGCTCTGTGCCATCCACCTTGCACAGCCCATTTTTAGATGGACTATGGGGAGCTTTTTAAAACAGCCACCGAGCAATCTCACTAAATCATGTTATTCATCACTGTGTTTTTGCAAGTCACACAAAACTATCTCCGCTTCTGGTAGAAGACTGGCATTGTCTAGAATATGTCACTGTAATTAACTGTAAACAGCCAAAATGCCTCTTGAAAGCGCTGACACATGCAAAGAAAACAAAAGTTTGTGTACGTTAGCTTAGGAAAAGAGTCGAATGGGATTCAGAGTTAATGCTTTAGTGATAGTACTGGCTGGATGTGTCGGTTCTAAGTTTTCAGTGAAGGAGCAATATGGGAAGGATGGGCAGCAGTGTTTTACCATAATCTAGCACAGAAATTAATTCTTTAAGGGTCATTTCACCCAAATTGAAAACCCTAGTGGCATCTAGCCATGCACATAATTTGATGTGCCTTAAACACTGTACTTTAACACTTAATGTGAGGCAACTACTTCCTGTAATTTAAGGTGTATTGATCCTGTAGCCGTACTCCAGTGTCAGGTAGCACCGTTCCTAGTGTACACTTTGAGTGTGACCTCTTCATATATCTGCCATGATGCACATACACATCCGCCGACATGTGAATGCAGCAGCTGGTAGGAAATATGAGATGCATGCAGTGCCGGAGTCTCCTGCAGATAGACCTTCCTCCACACTTGCTTTTATTGCAGTACACCAGTATAAGGTCCAGCAGATGAGTGACAGATTGGATTTAACCTTCATTTACCCTGTGAGTTTTTGCTGAGTTGGCTTTTATTAGGTGCCTCAGGTTCTTTAGCAGCAGATGTTCAGAGGTAGAGATGAATGTTCCTTTTTTCCTTCACCTACATTTTTCCAATCAGCGGGTCTGGGGATCGCTTTCGCACCAGTACGAGACACAGAGGATTGAGAGTGAACGAGTTGAAGGAGAGGACATTGGCTGCACATAAGAATTACGTATAATAATCCACCAAGCAGCATTGCCAGGAAATAGAAAACACTATTTCCCGTGTCAGACATCAGCTCAGACAGATTGTTATGCGAGGATGAGCTAAATATCCCTGCCAGTGTCTCTTTGGTCCACTGAGGGCCCTCCATTGACTGGCTGGTAGATTCATTTACTATGGGAATGGATGCGTTTAGCTACAATAAACACAGTAAAATAGCAAAGGCTTTGTGTTCATGCAGCTCACAGAGGTCGATGGTGTATGATATGAGATTTGTCTCTGAGGACGATGAGTGGAGTCTGGCTGGCTGTGCTAATGATCTGCTGCATTCAAGGATAATTAGTTTTGGCTCTTCTGGCGGGTTTCAAAGGGATCAGGATACATTTGTTACTGTTTTACAAATAGTTGGGGCGTTTCCCCGTAACTGGGTCAAATCAACTGTACATATGAATCTCACTTTATATAAAGCAAGACTGACGATACCCTGAGGCTGCAATAGATACACTCACTATACTGTGTTAAAGACTTTCAGATCCAGTTTGATAAAAATGTAAATGTAATATAATGATATAAAACATTAATAATGAGACAATGATACACTGTTTACATATTAAAATAGGAACAAGAGGTTGTGTTATGGCCTAAACATTGTGAAAGCTTATATATTTATGGACTTGTATAGTATAATAATGAATAGAGTATCCTGTAGTAATCAATACACAGGTCTCAATTCCAGCAGAGATGTTTAATAGATATTTTGTTCACTGCAGACATTTGACATGTCATAGAAGGAAAACACATTTGTATTTATTTAATAATATTAACAATTGTGATCAATAAATTCCATTCATGTGTACCTGTTTCTGGGCTCTGGTTTTTCCACATGCTGGCTCACTGACAGGGGTTAGTGGGACAAATAAATAGAGAAGAGACATAATTAATGTTACAACTGTGTCCTTCCTGTTATGACAAGTCAAAATGTACTGCTGTGAAAACAACTCTCACAAAAAATTCCACAATACAGTTTTGGGACCATAGTTCCTCACAAATTATTATTTTATCAACGTAACGAGGAAACGTTTATGAAATGTATCTGAATGAACATATTTGCTGGTAGCAATTACACCACCTTCAAAATTTATTAGCAAATATAAATTCCAGGAGACAGGTTGGTGAAAAAGTTCTGTCCTATTGTCAGTTTTCAAGCTTGTGTGAAAATAAAATCCCTCTCACAGAGCCTTCACATCACCACCAGAGCTCCACAAACATGTAAATGACCTGAGCTGACGCTGCAGGTTAGACCGCGCCACACAGAGTCAATTAAATAAAGATGAAATGAAATGAACCTGATACAGGCACAGATGTTCAGTGTTAGAGATCATACAATGGGAATGTGTTAAATTAAGCATAAGGCATAAGAGGTACTGAAGGAAGCACGTACAAGATAACATTTCTATAGTCAGATCTTATAGTGAAGGAATCTTTGAACTGGTAAAGCTTCTGAAGCTCATATGTTTTTACATTTGGTACATTTAAAACTGCTTAAATGCCGAAAAAAACTTTTATTTATCTGCTGTAACCTGCAGTTGTGATATCTTTATTTATAACTTTATTGAGTGTGTCTTCCAAAGGTCCACAAATCCCCTAGGAAATAGTTATAGTAGGAAGCAGGAACACTTTCACCCCTCCTGTCAAGAATAATGGATATTGGAGAGTAATTTTGCACCCAGGGGGCTTGTATGACTGATGAGTCACAGATATAGCATTTTCTTTCATATAATTGGTAGCCAATACATGAGCCAAAACCACATTTTGATTTCAGATTTGTGCATCAGTTTTGATATGTCTTAATTGACGCTGCAACCCACAGAAAGTTGTTTGGACAGCAACCTTTACATCTGCAAACAAAAATACATAATTATACTAGCATTTACCTCCTGTGTAATT